TTCCCTTTAGGTTATAAATGTCTTAAAGAATTTACACTTCTTTAAATTAATACCTAAATTATTATAGGTAAAAAAATTTGTATGCTCTTCTCAATACTTTAAAATGTTTATCTATATTTCTTGTTTAAATTAATATAATCATTGCAAAAATTCACTTAGTTTTCTTAAATTAACTCAATAAAAATGTTTTCCATTATTCTCTAAAATTATGTAGAAATAGTTATTAGTCCATATGGTAACATATGAAGTATAAATATTACAAGCTTAGATAATATAAAAATAGTTTATTTTTATTTTTCTTTTAATTTTATGTTTCAAAAAATATTTTTAAGGTCTATTTTTAAGAGCCATATGGAATCTTAAATTTTTTGAAATATATATTTCATATATGGTAAAACATATAATTCATCCAGTGCTTATCTGCTTAAATGCTATAGTCTATAGTAATTATCCAGTGGTCGCCTTTTTATAAATAAGTACCACAGGTGAAGTCTATTTTTCATTATTAATTCTATTTATAAATCTACTTTTATCAATTCATCAATTTATGTACTTTGGTTATTACTTGTTTACTAAAAGAGCTGAAATTATATCTTTGAGATTTTTCTTGAAATTCATTAGAAAATTTATATTTACTTGATACCCTTTTAATTTAGTTTTCCTAAAGTGGTGAATTATACTCCAATAGTTTTCTCAATTTGTCCATGTATTCTGGAGACATAAAATTAGTCTTATAAATAAAATTCTAATTAATTACTTGATTTTTTTTTTTTTTTTTTAAGACTATTTTATTCATCTTTTTTAACTTACAATTTGTACATAATTTTCATTATTTGTTTATGATAGAATACAACAAGTGATTAATTACTATATGGTTAATAAAAGGCATTATTAACCTTTTTGAGAATAAAAAGTTGGTTGCTGTATGGAAAATAAATAGTCATGTGGCTTATTAATTGATAATTCGATGACCTTGTGGTCCATAAATAATATTACAAATATCTTTTATATAATTTTTAGATGAATAAATGGAATAAAAATATTTTATTTTCTGAATAATGAATCGAGGGTCCAATGTGATATAGTAAATACATACAATAAAATAGCTAATCAATAAGTATGTAGACTAAAAAAAAAAATATAAAATAAGAAAAGGTAATCTTAAAAAAAAAATTAATAAAATTTTTTTTTTTTTTTGAGGATGATGTTTGAATTATTGTGGAGTGGATATTTTTTTTTTTTTTTTTTTAAGTCAAAATGTAGTATTAGAGAAATTATATTTTTGGTTGTCGCGTAAATTAACTTAAAAAAAAAAAAACAATTAACTAATAAATAGTATTTGATTTTGGTTATTAAAAATAAAGATTTTTAAATTAAAATTTTAATTAAATAAATATTAAATTAAGTTGAGTTTACTCTAAATGCTCTTTATTAATTTGTTTGTTTGATACTAGCAAAATTATTGAACAAGCAAATAATAAATCATTAGTATCAAACAAACAATTAATATAGAGCATGTAGAGAAAATTCTAATTTATTTTTAATTTAATAAAAATGTTAATTTAAAAAAAATTTATTTTTAATAACCAGGATCAAGTACTATTTATTAGTTAATTGTTTTTTTTTTAAAGTTTATTTACTCTACAACCAAAAATATAATTTCTCTAATACTACATTTTGACTTAAAAAAAAAAAAAAAAAATATGCACTCCACAATAATTCATACATCATCCTCAAAAAAAAAAAAAAAAATTTTTATTAATTTTTTTTTTTTATATTTTTGGTGTATACACTTTTTAAGTAACTATTTGACTTACTATTTTTCTATTCAGTGGCTTTGCTAGATTATTGAAAGAACAGATTAATATAGAGTATGCAGATTTGCCTCTACTAAATGAATTTAATTATAATTTTAATACTATAAATCAGTAAACCATTTTATATATATAGTCTACTTCATTGTGCATTTATTGTTTTAAAGAGGTATTTATTTAATTTAATAAAAATCCCTAATTTTATTAAAAATTAAAACCTTTAATTATTGATTTTATTTACATATATTTATTTATAATGTTATGAGTAATGCTTATCAATTAAAATCCATTACTCTCAAACTAAAATAAATGATATAAATATTGCACAACACGAACATTTTATTTTAGTTAATATAAAACATCCTTATATAGAATTCAATCAAAATATACTACAAGCAACTCTTTACCAGTAGCTCTTTTTTATATTTTTTGACAATTAAAATTTAAAAAAAAATATATATTCTTTTTTATGTATTTTAAAATTTACAAAAGAAAATAAAAATAGTTAACAACTAAAATTTTTTTTTTTTTTTTTTTTTTTGTCTAGTGCTTCTATTAATTACTGTTTATATCCAATATAGCTATTACTTTTTATTCTAAAAAAAAGTTAATAATACATTTTACTAACCACTATTTCAGGTTATGTATTTATGAATTAACATTGTACCACAATTCAGTATGCATAAAATAAAATATTTTTATTCCATTTATTCATCTATATATTACACAAATGGGGTATGTAATATTATTTATAGACCAACTGCAAAGCCATTTAACAGGAAATTAATATATTAATACTTTAAGAAAATCATTGAATAGGCAACTAATATATCAGATGGTAAATAATGATGTGAAGTATTTTTTTTATGCATTAATAAAAGGGTAATGTTAATTATGATACACATAGAGTATTGTTTAAATTAGCCAAAATAACAACTACAGTAGTTAATATTTAATATTAATTAACAAATGAACATAATTGATTCAGTATTTTATTTTAATTGCAACAAAATAAGTAAGACTTTTGTCTATATTTTCTTTATCAATTTGTTTGTTCAATACTAATAAAGTCATTGAACGGGTAATTAATAAATCAGGGGGAAGTTATTATTTTAATATTTATTTTGAAATAATTTTTCTTTATAATTATATATGTATATTTTCCTTCAGTAATAAAAAAATAGCGTAATGTATTTTATAAAATTATAATGCTTTACAAATTCTAAATTTTTTTTTTGTTATTTTTTTTTTATTATTGAAAATGCATGTTTTTGGTATTTTATGAATTTTTTTTAGATTTTTTTTCATTGAGTTATATAAGCTTTTTTTTAACGATTACAATTTAGGAAAATAATAAAATATATAGAGTTAAAAAAACCTTTTATAATTCACTTTCAAAAACTATATGAAACAAAGTCATTATTTCATATTGAATAATTTAATTACATAGGATATATATTTTCTTTTAAAGGTTATAATTAGTAAATTGAGAACTAATAGATCTACATGTTTTTTTAGTCGCCTATTCAATAACTTTGCTAGAGCATTTAACAGATTATTAAAGAGAATGTAGATTTGACTCTACTAAATTAATAAAGTACAATTTTAATGATATAAACTAGTAAATTGTGCTATATATGGTCTACTTCATTCAGTATTTATTGTTTTTAAGGGACATTTATTAATTTTACTAAAAATCCTATATTTTTATTAAATATTTTTATCCTCATTAATTATAGATATTTAATTACATATATTTTATTTATAATGTCATAAGTTCATCAATTCAAATTCATTGCTCTCAAATTAATAAATATAACTAATTAACAAAATACTATATAAATTATATAAATGCTACAAAACACGAAAATTTTATTATAGTAAATATAAAACATTCTTATATGAATTTAAACAAAATATACTACAAGAAACTTTTTTTTCAACAACTATTCCTCTTAATTTTTATGCCACTAAACCATTTTAAAAAAAAAATAAACATATTTTTTTTATGCATTTAAAATTTTACAATAAGAAAGGAAAAAAAAAAAAAAAAAAAACGACTATTCTATTATTTTTTAATGTCTATCATTTGCATGGCTAACTATTTCCGTGCATAACGCTACAACTTTTTATTCTCAAAAAAGTTAATAATACCTTTTATTAATAAATATTTTAATAATTTGATTATTTAGTTCTTTACGAAGATTATTAAATAGTCGATCAATAAATAAAAAATAGAGAGTAGATATGAACTTAGTTTTATTCCTAAAATATTTGAGAAAATGCTTAACTTGAAAAAAAAAGTTTTTTTTTTTTTATTAACTATTTTTTTTAGAGAATGAATTATATATATGTACATGAAAATAAAGAATGAACATTTTTAATTATTTTTAGTATATATTATTTTGGAGAATTAATAAATTATTAGAGAAAAATAAAAATAAATTTTATTATTAAAGTTATTCAATTCCTTATGATAATATATGCATATAATACTATCAAATGTTTGCAGATAATAAGTATTTAAGTTTAAATTAAAATATATGAGGAATTTTATTAAAATTTATGAACTTTTTTATAAAATGTTAATCTATTAAGAATAATAAAATAATGAATTAACATAGTATTTATTATAGGGCTTTAAATTTTGCATAAAATAAATTGTTTATTCTGTGTTATTTATTGTAATTATAGAGGGATTATATATTATTCATGATATGTAATTATATAATAGATAAAATTAATATTGATTCTACGTGTGCTTAACTTGATTATTCAATATACTATGAAATTATTTGGATTGTCATTTAATATATCAATTATTGATGTTAAAAATAATTTATAATGGCAAGTATTTTTATTAAAAAAAAAAAAAAGAATTATACTATAACTTTTTTTATTTAATTAAAAAATATATTTATATCAAAATTGAATTAAAGATTTAAGTTGATATTTTTATATCTGTTTCATAATAAAAAATTTTTAATTAGTAAATATATTCATAAGTTAATTATGAATATATATTTTTCGCTGTTTCGTAGAATCTATACAAATATATTTCTATATTTGTAATGAAAAAAATTGTTTCATATCAATAAAGTGGACTTAAAAACAAAAAGAAAAGAAAATTCCGTAAAATACTACACAAAAAAAATATTGAATATTAAATATTTTTTATTTTCGTCCTCATTGACTTTTCTTTCTCCATTCACCTAAAGTTTCTTTAAAAAATTTATCAAATTCTGCCATTAATGGCCCATAATAAGATCTCATAAAGTCTTTCTCCAAAAATTCATAAATACCTTTACATGATTTCTTTTGTATATTTTTTTGTAGCATTGACAAAAAAATCATATAATTATTTTTTTTTAAAGCAGTTACAAAATGTGTATAATTTTTATACCACAAATCCCATTTTTCATCTTTCCATAAAGGATCAATATCTTTTATAAAAATATTAGAATTCCATATATATTTCATTTCTTTCAAAATCATTTTACATTTTTGATCTATATAAATGTCATAATTTCCACTATATTCTCTACATTCCTGATAACCTTGTGCTTCATTTAGATTTCCTTCATTTATTCTTATTAACTCATCCATAACAAAATTTGCTATATATTTTAAAACCACTTCTTCGATTTTTAAATCTTTTAATTCTGCTAATTTAGTAATGGCATTAAGTAATTGATCTTTACTATTTAACATCTCATTTCTTTCCTCCTGAGTGCTATTCTTAAATTTTTCAACAGAAGCCTCCATTACGTTAAACTTAAAATTAATGATTTTAGCGGAATTAGTAACGCCAGTCATAAGGGAATGTCTTAATAAATGTTTTAATTCGTCAACACCTAAGGGAAAATATAAAGGTGGTTCACTTCTAATGGATATGCATGGTGTTAACCAATTGATAACTAAAAAATAGTAAAAAAAATATAGAGCTGTTGAGAATTTCATTTTAAGGTAAAAATAAAATATAAATAAAAAATAATATATTTATTGTAATAAATAATGTATTATGAACTAATAAGAATATAAGAAAGTAATAGGGGAGAAATTTTTTATTTTTTCAGTGGAAAGATTAATAAAAGAGATTCTTAAAATTTCATAAATTCATATATAGTATATCTTCATTTTTTTAAAGTTTTTATCCTTTCTTAATGTTATTTTTTAGTTATAATTTTTTTTTATTTCATTATGAACATTTTATTTTTGAGATAAAAGTTAAATTTCAACACATTGGAACTATTTTTCTTGTTGAAATGCACACTAATGCAGTAATTAAATATATTAATACAATTATTAAATTAGTATGACAGATGAAAACTTTCTCTTTAAAGTTATACAAAAAATATTTTTACTTTGTTTTAATGAACACCGTAACAATCAAAATGTTTTGTATAGTTATATTTATTACGTGGAAAAGTTATTATGCAAGTATGTTAACATACAATGTTGTGTTTATTGAGATAATCTTTAGAATGAAAATAATAAAATTTGTATTAAATAATATATATTTTTTGTTTTATATTGATAGTATCATTTACTTTAACAATGCAACTATTGTGAATTTTGTCTTTTATTATAAGGAGTAACATAAAAAAAAAATTTAATTAATAATTATGAAATTTATATTAACTAAAAATAGTAAACATGAAATCTTCTTTTATCATTATATTAAATAAAAAAAAAAAAAAGTTTTTCTCATTTTAAAAAACTTCAAAAGCTACTTTGTTTTTATTAATATAGGTAAATATGGTGAAAGAATTTTTTTTTTTGTAAGGCAATTTTATACTTGTAAATTTTTAAGAAATTAATTTACCACAAAATTTATATTTCGTTTAAATAATGAATATGGATGTTTGAGAATAATAAATTAATTATAACTAAAATAAATAAAATTTTAATAATACAAATTAAGTTTTTATTAAATAAATTAAAATTATAAATGGAATAACAAACTCAAATGTTAAACCTTACACAATAAAAAAATTTACGATTAAAATAAATATCAGTCTTTTTTAAATTCATTCAAATTAATATTTTTGTACTTGAATTAAAAACAATTTATATCGAATATAAAAACTTTAATATTTTTTATTAATTATTTTTTTATGTGCTTAGAGAATACAAACTTTCATTTTAATATTATATTAATATTACGTATAAAAAGGAATTATAATTTTATATTTTATTTATATCCTTTTATTAATATATTTCTTTATATTTTATATAATTCGTTTAAACTTATTTTATTTTAATCTTTTTTTATCATAAAATCTATTAATATTTTATCATATAAAACCAACAATTTTCACAATAATATATAAAAACAAATTTGCTTAAGTCAATAAAATAATAATAAAATAATTGCTTTAATTAAAATATATATTATTCCCATTAATAATGTACTATAATTAACACTTTTTTTTTTTTTTATGCATTAGTAATGTTTCGTTAATATTTTATTAATAATAATAGATTTATATATGAAACTTCTTTTATATATGTGCAATGTATATGTTCTATTTTTGCATTTTTTCTTTTTCTGATTCATTTTTGTATTTTTTTTTTTTGTTATATATTTATCAAATTATATAAGAAAATATATTTTACTTTTTAAAATTAATATTTTTGGATAGAGAATAAAATCTTATAACATAATAGAACATTATAATAATTACATTAATTTTTGTAAAATTTTAGAATAACAGAAAATAAATTCTTTTTGTTTTAATTTTGTTATTAAAAAATATATATAAATTCAAAATTATTTTTATTATCATTTCTCTTCTTATAAAATAGTTTTTAAATAAAAAAATTGTATTTTTATATTTTTATTTAGATTTAATATATAAAATAAAATTTATTTTTTATTACAATGTAATAAAAAAAAGATATTATATTTTTTCTTTTATTAAATATATATATCTATATACGAAATGTTAAGAGGACACAATAAAAAGAATGAAAAGGTTAAATAATAAATTATTTAAATTATTTTCTACTACAATTTTCCTTTTCTTTTATATTATATTTTTATTATATTGGAATTTTATTATTTTAATCAATTATTTTTGAAAATTATGTAATAAGTAAATGAACGTTTTCATTTTCATATAATAGTATTTAGATATATGTTTTATATAAAAAGAAAAAAAAAATTATTTAAATCTAATATTTAATCCATGTAAGGATTATTTTGAATATGAATGTTTATGAAATATGTTAACAATTTTGTTGAATAATGGAAGTTCCTTAATAAATAAATGGGTAATAATTATTGTAAATTTTATGTTGTAAATTATTGTTTTTGAAATATGATTTTTTATTTCAAATGTATAAATTATTTATTATGAAAATGTTACTAATATATGTTTATGTCTAGCTATTAATAAAATATTTTCAATAAAAATAAAAAATAAAGAGCATACTATTTTTAATAAATATAAATGGGGATAGTAATTTTATTTGTTTGTAAAATAAATGTACAAATTAATTCATAAAATTTTAAAGTGAAAATATTAAGATTAAATTTTCTAATTATAATAATTTTTGTTAAATATAGATTAAAAAAGAAAAAAATAATACTTTTCATATTAATTTTTATAAATGTAAATATATACAATGTTGCATTTATATAGATTTTTAGTAAATTATATATTTATATTTGAAAATCGTTTTTTAATCTTTACACATAATTCTTATATTAAAAATGGAAAAATCAAAGCATTATCATATGATTTTTAAGTTATTATACATGTAAATTTTTATTAAAATATTTACTTATACGCATGTTGAAATTTTTAATTTGTGTAAAAGAAATTTAAAAATATTAAATATTTATAAAATTAGAATTATATAGAAATATTTGTTTACATAGAGATTTAACTATAAATTTATTTTATTAGATAAAACAATCAGATTGGTTGAATTAAATGATTGCATTTCGTTAAATTTACTCATTCTTAATTTCAATAATATTTTTGAGTTAAATATTCTTTTGTAAATTTAGATTTGTTTGTAAATAAATTATTTAAGTTGAATTATTAATATTAAAATATGATAAATTATATGTAAATTTCATTAAAAGTATTGGGAAAAAAATATATTGATTTAGAAAGTTCTTTTATAATTAATTTATCATATACTTAAAATTTTCCAAACATTCAATTTTTTGTATGGCAACATTAAATTTCATAATTTTAAGTTTTTACATTTTATTATCTTTCAGATTTTAGATTTAGAGTTTTGGATTTGGTATTTTATTTGCTTTACATTCATCAGGATATTATTATAATTTTTGCCAATATTATATATATTTTTTTATTATTGTTCTTTTTATTTGTCTTATTTTTTATTGAAATTTTTCATTTATATAATTTTTATATTATTTTCACATGAAAGATTTTATTATTGTCAACACCGTTTCAAAGAATGTACTACAAATTTATGTGTATTAAAAAAAAAAATATACATTGTAACTATTACAATATATGAAACTTAAAAATATAATTCTAAATTTTAGTTGAAATTTTTGTTTTTTATAGTCTAATAATACAATCTAAAAAAAATAGGAATATCACGTTGAATTTTTATATCTATATGAATAATGGTTTACTGGTTATAATTTGTATCTATTAATAAAGTAGAATATTTATCTTTTGAAATTTTCTATAGTATAAAATAGAAGAGACTCAAAATTTTAGTTGTAAACAGAAAATACTTGTGAAAGTGAATATTCTAAATTGTACAGTATGAAAAAAGAAAAAATTTATCAGTTTTTTAAAGATATTTTTAATATTGTGATATTCTTATTTTATGTTATTTTTTTAGAGATACTTTAATTTTTTTTTTTTAATGAAATTTATGCATTTGTTTTATTAATTTTCTTTTCATTGTCTTTTATAATTCCTTGAATAAAGTTAATGTAGATAATATAGAGAGATATCTACCTATTTTATTTATTAAAAAATAACTATATATAATTAGGTACACTTTATATAAAATAGACAAATTAATTTTATATATTAATCTTTTTAATCACATTTTTCTATAATTTTTGTTATAAAATATTTTATTGAAAAAAAAAATTCATGAAAAAATAAAAAAAATAGTATAAAGCAAAAAATATTTTCTTTTTACATATTTAATTCTTATTTATTATTATTATTCGCATATTTATAAGTGTATCTTTAGATATATTTCTAAAGATATTAATCTTTCTGATTATCTTTATATTCAAAGTCTAGTTATATATACCTATATTTACGTCTCTTTCGAATATGTTGGATTTACTAAATTATTTTCATTATATATTAATGTTTTAAAAATGTCAATACCTTTTATTATTTAACATTGGAAGAGTGGTAATAATTTAATTGAGATTATTTTAAAAATAAATAAGTGATAATTTTTAATAAAATATACTAATTAATTCTTATAAATTAATGTTTTAAAAATATATGAAGCATTGAGTTATCCTATTTTATTTAAAAGGATTATAAATTTTATATGAAATAAGTTTATTTCATGCTATATAGAATTATATATAAAGATTATATATCATTTATAATAAGTAATTTTAAAATAAATAAAATTAGTACATTTTGTTTTACATACCCCTATTAATTTTTTGTTTGGTTCTGAATAAGAATCTTTAGACTTAAAATTCATAAATCAGGTATTAAAAAATGTTAGTATCACTTTATATTGATCATCAAGAATATCATAACTATATTTTCCTTCCTTTGTTATATATATATTTTATTAATTATAATATTTAAATATGTTAATAATACTCATTATTCACCAATTCTCCAAATAGATATAGCAAGAGTCTTTTTTTTTTTTTTTTTATGGGAATAAATTCATTTTAATAATATTATTCAAAACAGATATATATATTAGAAAATATTAAATAATCGTAATGAAGGAACAAATATTTTTCTGATTGT